AGAGACACAGACTGTGTGTGTGACAGAGTGGGGGTGTGTGTGAGAGAGACACACACAGAGCATGAGAGAGAGAGACAGAGACAGACAGACAGACAGTGTGTGTGCTGGCTGCTGGATAAGTTTCTGGGAGGTCCATGCGCTGCCTCTTTATGGCACTCACTGAAAGCTCTCCTCCTGAACCATGTTCCCCCTCCTTCGCTCTGCAGAGATGGGGTACATGGGCAGGGGGAGAGACAGAAAGACAGAGAGAGAGCACGAGATAAAGAGATAGACTGTGTGAGCTGTCTCCTGGGGAAGTCTCTGAAAGACCATGTGCTGTCTCTCTAAGGCACTCACTCACCTGGAAGGCTGGTTCAGACCTCAGACCACAGCAGTGCTCTCCTGCTAGAGTCCTGAGCCCCGTCCCCGCACTCCTGCTCTGTGGAGATGGGGCACAGTGCCAGGGGAACACCCTGAAATCAGCACCTCCCTGCCCCCCCCGACCCCACTCTGCACAGCCAACAGGAGTTTCTCGGGAGCAGCTGCAGGAGCAACATGGCTGCAAAGCGGGGGGGGGGGAAGGGAGAAAGGAATGTGAGAGAGTGAGGGACACCTAAACACAAACTGTCGGATGTGCACGGCTATGCTAATCAAGTGCACGGCCCTTGAATCACTCCTAAGTGGCCGCCCGACTGCACAGCTCAGAGGGAACACAGGTGCTAGTCAGTACAAAATGCACATTTCTGGTGGAAAGTCTGGGACTAGGAGTTTGCTGGTGTTGCATTGCAACGTAATTCATGACTAGGGGGCTACAGCACTCATACAATATAACTCGGAGTAACTTAGATGCTGAAGGCTGTATGAGAGCAGATCAGGAGTGGGTGCTCTCACGGCAAAGCAGTGTAAAAGGCAACTCAGTTCAGTGAACTGAGAAGACATATCTGTCCATCAGTCCAGTCTGTACCTGGGTAACGTCAGTCATCTTTTCGTCTTTTTGTTTATACAGTCTCCCACTGACACAGTTAGGAACACTAGGCAAGATTCAGCACAGAGTATGTATTAGCACTGACTTCATCACCTAACTTTGACCTGGAAGCAATGCAGATCTTCAGTACAATTATGCTGAGCCTGAGGAGCCCACTTTTTGTGAGAGAGTCAAAGAGCTTGATGATATCAACTGTACTGGGCACTAAGAAACAGATTTGATCAAGTGACCCCATGCGCTTCTCCCATTAGAAAGAGTGTGAGGGGACAAAAGAAAGAACAAAATAATCCTTGGGAACAATCTCCTTTTATACCCTCCGATTCCAGCACGAATAAGGGTGCATGGTGTCGCCCTCAAAAGCACTGCTATTTAAAAGATTTTGAGTTTACATACATGTCCCAAGAAAAGGGAATCATACAGACAAATCTCATGACACTTTAAAATTCATTTCCCATGTTATACAACAATATTAACGCCTTTCTTTCCCTAGCCCTTTCCTTTTTCTTCAAGTTCTCTGTTTGCTAATTTAGATTGTAAATTCTTTGGCTCAAGGCCACATATGAACCATACTGCCGCGTTATTGCGCTAAGTATTTACTAGTAATGTTAACTGCTCCTGCACAAATCTAGAGACCAATGAGCACTTTCCCTTTGGTTCTTAGAAGGTACAATATTTGATAGGTGGATGTTATAGCGAAACAGAGAACGTTCCATTCTTAGCTTTAAAATAGAGTTGTAAGAACACAGAGAATATTTTTAAGGTAGAGACAAATGGATATCAAAAAACTCCACTCTAACTACTTCACTTCGTCTCTGAAAGGAAACAAATCGAATGGAGTGTGGGCAAAGTCTTCTCCAAAATCCATGTGGCACAGACTGATCCATCACTCGAGGAAGAGTAGTGACAACAGTTCAATATCTCTCTCTCTCTCTAGTCTTAAGAAAACAAATACCACATTTCTGCAGCTTCTCATCTTGAGACTTTAATTAGAAATTTTCCATTAGCAGTGTCCATTTGGCCTGTGCACAAACTTTACACAACCTCACGCCCCACCGTAAGGGTATACAGAGCTGCATGGGCAAACCACCCTCAGGTCCTTCTCTATCTCATCGTCCAGCAATGAAGAGCCCAAAGAAGAGGGGAAGGAGAGAGGGTACTGGAGCACGCATAGGAAGATACATCTCTAAGAACCACAGTTACTGCACAAGGTCAGTAACCTCTTCTTCGAGTAGTGTCCACATGGATGTTTCACATTCAGTGATGCCCGGGCAATATCCTCATAGGAAGGAGGGAGCTTCAGAATTGAGTCTAGGGGTTTGTCCACACATTAGAGTTAGGTTGATGTAAGACATCTTATACTGACCTAATTATGTCAGTGACTACACGACAGCCTTGCTCCCACCGATGTAAGTGCCCCCCGACACTGACAGAATAACTTCATCTCCATGAGAGGCATAGCGCTTATATTGGACTAGTTAGGGCAATGCAGTATCCGTTCACACACTGCGTTATACTTACATTAGCTGTTGGCTATCATCTTGTCAATTTCACAGCTCCGCTCTGCAGCAGGGGACTCATAGCTGCAGCCATGAAATTGAAAAGAAAGGGTGATAGGCTCCCTACTAGGAAACTGAGCCCAGAACCAGGCTCACAGCTGGCCCCCTAGCTGTCAACCAGGCTCACAGCTCGAGCCTCCGTCCCCTACTCCAGGGTAACAGCCCAGGCTCAATTTCGCAGCATGGAGCCTACCAGCCTTTCTTGTCAATTTGACAACTTCAGCTGTGAGCCCTGGTGCTGCTCTGAGCCTGAGGCAGCTGTGAAATTGACAAGAAAAGCTGGTAGGCTCTGTGCGGTGAACCCCACACTGGGCTCACAGTGCGGGCTGTCACCTCATGGCGGATGGGGGACTCCAGTTTTGAGTTCAGCTGCCACCCTGGTTCTCAGCTCCCCACAGAGCTAACCAGCTGGAGCCCAGCTGCCACACAGGCTCTCAGTTCCCTACTAGAGCCCGGCTCCTGGTCCCTGCAGGGAGCGGGGAGCTGAGAGCCTGGGCAGCTGCCAAGCTCAGAACCCGGACTCTCAGCCCCCCAAGACTGCCCCTCTTAAGTCGGTGCAAGCATTTCTGGTGAGACCGTGCACCACCGATAGAAGGAGGGTCGTGTGGACATGAAAAACCACAGTAATTACTGCAGTGGCTGTAAAGTGATGTAACATAGGCAAACTTAATTGTGTAGTGTGCGGGAGGGATAGCTCAGCTCAGGCTATTTTCCCCTGAACTATTGCTCAAAATAAAAAAAAGGGATAAATCGCTTACAATTCTTCATTGAAGTATCATTTTATTAGATTCCCATTCTTGGCTCTATTTCTATGTTATGTAAAATAACTGAATTATTTTAGGTCTCAACTTTCTAGCCAACAACAGATTGGAACTCTATCTCAAAGATTTTTGTCCATGAGGCAGTGGTAAGTTGCCCATTCTGAGCCTCACTGTCAGGCATCAATAGAGCCATCAGAATGGCTGGTACCTGCTGCTAGGCTGGTGCAGCTGCCAGCTGTCTACAAAATGCTCCAATGAAAGCAGCATAAGTTGTCTTAGTGAGAAAAACTAAAGGGCAGGAAATATTAAATACAGAACTATGTTTTTCATATGTATTTCTTCTCACCTCAGCTCTGTAACATGGACAAATTTATCCTTTCAACAAAAGAAACTACTCACATCAGCTTTTGTTGTTGTTGGGGGTGTGGGGGGGGCAAACAAAATATCATTAGTTTATATTATCAATAGTGGTAAACATGACCAAGAACATTTTGCACCAAGACTAATAAACTTTCATATTTACAAAAACATATGCATAATATTGGTTTATAATGTAGTGACTATGGTATACATGTATCTATCACAGTCAGCCGATTTTTAGGTGATAAGTTCAGATGAAGTTCCATGAAAATAAATACAAATAATGCTCTAATTAATTCTACTTATTCAGAAAGAAGGCCTACTCATCACTGTGATCAGTTCAATGAAAACATCTACTCAAGTCCAGCAGTGGTAAAAAAAAATAAACAAAGTTAGATTGTACGAAGAAAGAAACTTAAAATGTTACAGTGCCAATAAATAAATTCTTAGTCCTCCCTTACTTTGAATCAAATCTGTGTCAACATTGGTCACGCCATCTCACAAATTACATAACAGAAGCAGAAAAATGGCTATTCAGAGCAACAGAAACGACTACAGGCTTGTAAAGAGTGCCATACAGTGAGAAAATAAGAAAATTAGGACTATGTAGTTTATTGAGGAGATGCATACGAGGTGAAAGGATAGAGGTATGTAAAGTAATAGAACAGAGGTGATCACATGGGTGCTTCCGCTTACCCCCTCAAAATACAGTTTTAAAAACCCAACGCGATTAAAAAGCACCATATCTGAAACTGAGTAAAGAAAAAAAAAAACCTATTTACAGCATGCATAATTAACCTGTGGAACTCAATGACTCGAGGTGTTACTGAGGAAAAAAACTTAGTAGGATTAAAAAAAGATTAGATGTGGCTAGTAAGAATAACTATAGTAACACCAGCTAGAAGAAACATTTATAAGTCTTATAAAATGTCATGCAAATCAACAATTATGCCACGGGTTAGGAAGAAACTTGCCCCACACACACGGTATCCTACAGTGTTATAGATGCTATATACTGTCTACTGAGGCATCTGGTACTGATCACCATCAGAGATATCATACCAGACTAGATGGATTTTTGGTCTGATGTGATAATGCAATTCTTGTTTTCCAAGGAAGGAAAACTGTGTATGTGGGTTAATATTTTTGAATTTGGGTAATTTTTCAGAGTTGGAACAGAGGCACAGAAAGAAAGTGTTTGTAGTACTCCAAATCCAAAATTACATTTTATGGTTTGTGTGAAAATGTTTATGTTCCTTATTTAAAAAGGAAAAAAAAATAAAAAAATCAAGGTTTAACAATGCACTTATTACTCTTACAACTCTTAGGTGGGTTAGGGATTTTTTGGTTTCACCTTACCTCAGTTGGGGAGTTGGATGAAACTATATTTTATGTAAAATCTTCTTCAGACTGTCTTCATCTGTATTTCCACTTCATCAATTCCAATATGATATTACAGCAATGCATATTTCTATTAATCTGTAAGACAGGAAGAGGATTTGCCTTTGAGTCTGCAGCAATACTTTGTCAGTAATAGAGAAATTACTGTAATGGTTTACAATACATAACATGAACTGATTATTGCAGATATATCTGCAATTATGGAGATTAACTGTTGTCTATTTCTTGTTGCTGTCTATTGCTTTCCACAGAAAACCTCTAGAGCTGCCATATTTCAAATATTCTACACTTTTAAAGCCTTGATATAATAGTAAAAACATATTAAGGATACCCCAAAAGCATTTGGAATTTATTTGTATTCTATTCAAATTATACACTTACAAAGAAAAATATTAATGACTTAACTGATTTGTAAAGAATAATTTTTTCTTCCACTTTAAGGAATCAGACAGTCTTTTGAGAGAGAGAGAGAGAGAGAGAGAGAGAGAGACAGACAGACTTTTTTAACTTGGGGCAATTATTTTTTCTCTGAGCTTTCAATGTGCAATTACACACTAATTTTAATGTGTTTTCCTTCAGAAAACCAGACTCTGAGAAACAACAGGTTTATTGGAGATGAGCACTGACATGACTGCTTCAGAGATTGTAAAGCAAGTAGAGGAGCTGACAGAGTGTATATGTAAAGCCCTATGCAGATACAAAATTTGTATCTGCATCCTATCCATGAGCCACAAACATGGTCTGTGGCTATTTGCAGGTATGATGCGGCTATCTGCAGATTTGCAGGGCTCTATGCATAAGAGCTGGAAGAAGTTTACTGGCACCTGTCCGGGGGCTTGTCAACATAGCAAGTTACCATGCTGCAAGCCAGGATGTGAATCGACAGCACCAGCTTCTTACGCAGCATGGACGCTGCTATAGTGCAGGGATGGCCCCAGAGTGTGGCTTTGCGTACTGCTATGTAGCATGCTAAGTTGCACTCCAGAACTCTCATTGCACTGTAGTAAAGTGTCCACATGAGACATTACTCCACAGCAAGCTGATCCACTGTAGATTCACACAATCGGTTGCCGAGCAGTAATTTTCTGTGTAAACGAGCTTCACCAGTTAGAGGAGACCAAGTGAACCAAAAGCAGGCTCAAACCCATCATCTTAGCTATATAAATGTATCAAGAGAGTTCACTCACTAAAATATATTGGATTCAAATAACCAAATATTCAGTTTCATCAACAGGGCAGGGATTCAGGAAATAACCCTTATTCAAAAAACATTTAAGCACATGCTAACTTTAACCATGTGCACAAATGCTGTCCTCAATAGCAGTGTCGCCAACTCTGGCAATTTTATTACAAGTCTTGTCCCTACTTCTGGAAACACGAGAATCTCAGCTTTCATTTAAAATGTCTAGCACTCATGGTTACGGAGAAAGGCTTGAAAACATGACACGCGTGTCTTCTAAAGGATCAAATAACAGAAGGCAAATAAAAAGATCCTCATATTTATCCTTTTTAAAGAGATGATACTTAAGCCAATCTCATGATTTTTGGAGCCTGATTCATTTTTGAATGGTTGAGCTTTGCAATACCGGAATAGGGATGTACCAAAGCACGTGGCTTTCTTAGAAAGGCAAAGCTTCTATTGTCTGGTTTTCTTCCCTCTTTCTCCCCTAACACCACAATGACCTCTCACATTACAAGAAGGTAAAAAAAACTCCATCCCCACATCCATTTATAAGCATTGTTTTTATCAGGGTGAGGTTTAATAGTCTTGACAATAAATAATACATTTGTATATAATGGGCAACCTGAAACTGTCCTGAATATCAGATAGCATGAGTTCATAAAAACAACTGTCTCTGTTGAGCAGACAGGCGGACACTGGACTCTTAAATATTCCATGGTCAAAATGAAGAAAAACTGACTGTTGCTCTACATTTAGCAAACCTTTGTTTTCTTAACAAGATTACAAAACCTACAAAGTGAACTCAAGTCTCCTTTCCCTATTTCTGAAACATCTTCAATAGCTATACCGCTGTAGCGCTCCACAGCATGCTACTGTAAACAGAAAGGAGATTCTGTGATTTCCTGGCTATCCTACTGCAACAGCCATAAATCTTAGATGTCACGTCCCATTTATCCAATAATCTAGTTCATGCCATAGCTTTAAAACAGGTCACTGTTAAAGGGAAAAAATAACAGTGATTTTGAACAAAGTTAGTGCTGTTTCTGAGTACTGTACTCTTGGTAATATTCCCAACCTCTTGAAGCAGCTATCATCATTAATTTTTGTAAAATTCTTTACTCACATTTTCTGGATCATATGCCCAACAATCCCCTAACCACCATATAGCAGCCTTGCAGTTCACTCAAATGAATCTTCAACTCAATTAAAACCAAATTATTCTTCTGCCTTAGACAACTCTCCCTCCTCCCATTACTCACCAAACCACAAGCCCTGTTCCAAAATCCCACTTTTTTAGACAACCTTCTGCAAAACCTCCTGGCTCACTGGAGAACAACCCAGCACTTAAGCTTAATTGTTTATTACTGTGAGTATGCTGCCTGTATTACACACCAGGTTTTATTTCCTTCCTTTCCCAATCAGCTTCTAAGTGCCACTGAGTGACTTATATTAAATTTCAGTTATAAAAATCATCTGAATTGATATGAATATGAGTTTTATTTCCATTTTAAGTATGAATTCTAAGAATTCTAATAATTAATAATGGTTACTTGTTTTTCCTGAGGTGCTAGAAGACTACCAACCGTGCTCAGATAACACAAACAGAGCATGGATAAGCATGAATTTTATGCGGGTAGTCATTTGCAGGCAAGAGAAAGATTCTCCACCGATTGTCAATTTTGTGTTTTGTTAACTGCTGTTTTATGCTGCCTGTACATTTGCGTGGAGACTCTGGTAAACTTTCATTAATAAATTGGGGGGAAAGAAAACCCTAGAAGCTAAAGATCTCACTGGCGCTGTAACACAGAAGGAACCAAACTTAAATGTCACATATCAAATTGATAAAGGTAAAGAAAAGTTGGGTGAAATTTTGGACATACCAAGAATTTGGCATCATCCTTTTAAATGCAAAACAATAACTATCAAAATAAAAATAAAGTTATTTTCATACTTCCATTCTCTTCCACTTTGTAACCATCAAGGCAGTTATTCATTACAAAGTGAAGGTATAAAGAAGTCAGTGTACGGAACTTAAATACCAAAACAAAAGAAAGTGAGGGAGGAGGGTGACCCATTAAAAACTAAATTAGTTGAAATCAAATAAAATATCTTAAGACTATAAATCAAAAGGATTTACTGAAAGAGCTTACTTCATTCAGCAACTGGATAATTCAGTGAACCTTCAACAAAATCTAATGAAATCAAAAGTGCATTATCGAGCATAACAAACTAAGAACAGAATGAAGGTCTAAGTTCACATTAACTGAGGGCATGGCTACACTTGCAGATGTAGAGCACTTTGAGTTAAACCAGCCTTTGGAGAGCGCAGTAGGGAAAGCGCTGCACACTGTCCACACTGACAGCTTCAAGCGCACTGGTGTGGCCACATTTGCAGCGGCACTGGGAACAGTGCATTATGGGCAGCTATCCCATCATGCAAGTGACTGTAACGTGCTTTTCAAATGGGTGGGGTGGAGTGTGACAGGGAGTATGTTGTGTGTATGTGGGGGGAGAGAGTGGGTTTTTGGGGGGCTGAGAGCTTGTCAGCATGCTGTCTTGTAAGTTCAGACAGCAGCAGACCCCCGCCCCCACTCACAACAACAGCATTCCACACTAATGGCTTGCTTTGTCTCGGCGCAGATAAGCATGCTGGCTGTCAGAAACGGAGCTTTCAAAGGGCATATCCGCATTCCTGCAGCGATTCAAAAACAATGACAAGAGTGGCCACTTGACTTAAGGGAATTATGGGACATTTGCCGAGGCTGATCAGAGCGCAGTAATGCAACACCTCGTTCACACTGACACCCACGCGTTTCAGCCAAGACGCAGCCAGCATTAATCTTCTCATCAAGGTGGAGTACCAAGAGCGCTCTAGCTGTGGAGTCAGAGTGCTCTATGTGCCTTGCCAATGTGAAAGGGTAGTGAGCTAGTGCGCCCAGGGCTGCTTTAATGCGCTCTAACTCGCAAGTGTAGCCAAGCCCTGAGCAGTTACATTACAAAACACTACATGGGAAAAGCAAAAGAAATGCCACAAAACTGCTATAAGTCTAATATCATAAAACTGACAGCTTTTTCCATACAATTACCATGTGACTTTTTTGGCAAAACTATTTAAATAACCTCAAATTTCATCTAAACAAGATTTTATTCAACATCTGATAAGGTTGCCAGCAGCATTACAAAGTCCAAATTTACTTGTTTGCTCAGAATTGGATGAAAATGGCAAACTAGACTCTGCTTCATTACTAAATGGTAAACAGCTGGAAATCGTATAATAAATCATCAGTTTACCATTGCATTGCAAAATTACTAGTCAAATTACTTCTCAAAAGTTACATAAGTAAATTCCTAGATAAAAATCTAAAACTGGAGTTAAAATGGGGAATATATCAATAACATATGGATAAAAATTCAGTAATGTGTTAGTTATCCCAAAGACATTGGGATAACTAACATTCCTTACTACCCAAGGAAATTCAGAGTTATGTTCAAAAACTTAAGAAATCCAAACACATTAAGGTATGGAAATGTACAGCTTTGGAACCCAACCAATCTTAAGTCTGCCATGCAATTTCCATACAATATTAAAAACATTAGATCCCCACTTCACCACTTTAAAAAAAGGTCATTAATAACCAGAATTAAGGCTGAATGGCTTAGCTGAACGAGTATCTCATTGAAATCAAAGGGTTCATTTGCACAGAAGGAATATTTTTATCATGGCTGTTACTATGAGCTTATGATAAATGGTCACAAGTTATTTTGATTAACTACTAGGATACAACAATAGACTGCATGAAGTTCAGCTGAACTGTCAGGCTCTTCCAACACTTCTCATCTTTAATGATCTGGCCTTTTATCAGATCTGGTCAGGAGGTGTCTTGTCTCAGCTTAA